GCGCGAGAGCCCAAAAGTGGCGGCAGTTATAACAATTTGATGACCCGCTCGGATTGATAACATGATCCGCGGGCCCCATAGGGAGGGGGCTCCCGCTTGAGACTTCCTCGCAATTCACTCACAAATTTGCCCTGGGAATGGCGTTCTGGCAGCGCGAGAGCCCAAAAGTGGCGACAGTTAAGGAATTGGATGACCCGCTCGGATTAGTAACATGATCCGCGGGCCCCATAGAGAGGGTGCTCCCGCTTAAGACTTCTTTGCAAATCACTCACAAATGTGGCCTGGGAATGGCGTTCTGGCAGCGCGAGAGCCCAAATGTGGCGACAGTTACAGTAATTGGATGACCCGCTCGGATTAGTAACATGATCCGCGGGCCCCATAGGGATGGGGCTCCCGCTTGAGACTTCCTCGCAATTCATATGTGAGTGCTGATGAGTCAGTAAGTGAATGAGTGAGTGAGTGAGTGAGTGAGTGATTGAGTGAGTGAGTGAGTGAGTGAGTGAGGGATGATGAGTGAGTGAGTGAGTGAGTGAGTGAGTGAGGAATGAGTGATGATGATGATGATGATGATGATGATGATGATGATGATGATGATGATGATGATGGTGGGTTCCTGTTCCTGCGCGGGGTGTCCAGAGAAAACAAGAAGCCCACTTTGGATGTGGGGAATACTCAATAATCATCCCAAAACCAGTTTTTGACTGACTTCCAATGTTCCTCCTGTAGAGGGGCACGCCCGACTTGACAATAGAAGACCACGTGCTGGTGGCCACCAGCCCGTCTTGGCAGAGCTTGTGTATTGTTTTTGCATCACGACCATAAGCCCATAGCGCCGCTTACGCTCGGCCTGCAGCGCCCTGGCGCCGCCTATGGGCTCCAGGGCGAAGACTTAGGTCGGGCACATCGTCCTACAGGCAGATTCGGAAGAAGCGTACAACAAAAATTCAAAACGAGAATCAACAATGGTAGAACACTAGTCAAAACATCGCCCCCAGACTATTCTCCCACTATTCTTGAATAGATTCCTCCTGTAGAGGGCCATACCCGATTTAAGCGAAGGCGGGGCAAGGAGCAAGCGTGAAACCACGCAGATCCGCCGATGACATGTGAATCCAGCAGGCACATTCGCTGAGAAATACTGCGATGAGACGTACAGTGGAGGCCTGTCCACAAGAATCCTTCTACAAGAAGCCCAAACTGCCCAAACCTGAGAAACTAGGACGTCCATTGATTCTTGGTGTGGGAACGTCACGCTTTCCATAGAAAACCATCGACACCCAAGAAACCAAGGGCACCCGGGAGGCAAGCAGGGTGTTTCTTGGCATGGGCCTCCACAGTACCAGAGCACATCATTCGCCGATCTCTGAGGGCCCCAAGAGGTGCCCCGGAGCTTCTGTGAGCCCCCGAGGCGATCGATGGATGAGAAACTTCCGTGGGCCACATGCTGGCAAACTGGTTGCTTGTTCGGCGCGCCCACTACACCGGTAACGATAGGTCGGGCGTGTCCTCCTACGAGCGGATTGGGTAGAAAAATAAGCAGATGCCAACAACATTCAAGAATAATCGAACATAGTGATAAAAATCGTCCCCATCATGTTTTTGACTATTCCTCCTGTAGAGGACATGCCCGACTTCATGGTACCGCTCGAAGGCACACAGAGCCCCTTCCCCACTGAGCCCAGAGGCCCGTGCGCGCGAGGCGTCGCCCGGAGCGGCCCCCATAGAGGGACTGAAGATGGCCGAAAACCTCCTCCTCACAACCGCGGCTCCTTGAGCGTGTCCCTCGCCCAGTCCAGAGAAAAGAAAACCTGAACATAAACTGCTGCAGCTCCGGGCGGACTTCCCAGCGCCCAGCCAAGCATCCCACGAGGACCGTAAACAGTGTATGCTTATACAGTTGGTTCTTCCTCTTAGAAAGACAACTATCTTGTTGGGAGGAAGGGTTTGAGAAGGTACCAGGCACGACTGTGTGCGCGATATTTCAATCGATCCGATCATGCCTCCCACCCCTATCCTCCCAGCCCACTACCCAGACGTGCCATAAATACGCGGCCCCCGGAAGTTTCCACCCTCTTTCTTCGGAACGGTTCTTCACCCTGCGTCGTTGGTTGATGGTCCCCGGGCCCGGCGAGGACCCCCACAAAGCCGAAACCGGCCAACAGTCGCCGTCCTGATTCTTCCAGGACCCGAGTGAGAGATTGACTACAGAATTGATTGGCCCAAAAATTACTTTTGTCGTCGAATCTACAACAGAAACCTAAAACGTTCGTATATCTACAAACCTACGTGTATTTCGTAGACGGGGCGAACAATAAATCATCTGGGGGAACATCAATTCTCGATCCCCTATTCGAAGGACGCGAGCTTGTCTGGGCAATTGTTTCTCTGCTCCCCAGGTCACTGGATAATGGACTTTCCCAGTCGCCACCGACGAGATCGGTCGCCACCGACTTTACTTCAAATTTCGGTACCGGTCTCGACCGACTTGCTCCAAAATCGATCGCGCCCGATCGGTCGCGACCGATCGGCCACGAACTGAGGCGACCAGTCGCGACTGACTCTGGGATCGGTCGCGACCGCTCGCGACCCATCTGGAGTGCCGATCGGTCGCTACCGATCGCGACCAAAACACATCGGTACCCAATGATCTGGGTTTTGGTCGGGTATGTCCTCCTACAGGCAGGAAGAGAAATAATATCAAACAGTTATCAAAAGTGAATTCAACGTGGTCAGAAAAGCAAGAAGATCGTCACCAAGAATATCTCTCTACTTTTCTTTGGATACTCCTCCTGCAGAGGGACATGCCCGACTTAAATCTGGGTCTTCGACCCGCTCCGATCGAGCGCGGCACCCCTCCCCCGCCTTGGCGTTCGGCTGCCGCGTGAACGCCTCCTGCCGCCGGGGCCGGAGCCACTCTGCCAGGTGGCGCACAGAATCGAGTCGACGAGCCGCATCGGCGATCGGAACCAATCCGCTCCGGCGGACATCGGCAGCCAGGTCGGGGAGAGTCGAATCGGCGGAAAATCGATGGGCTGGCAATGCTTTGGATGACCCCAATGGAGGTCTAGCTAAAAGGTGATGGTGCAATAGGTTTGGGGCAATTGGATTGCAAATGTATTGCGCCAGGGAATTGTATTGCATTGTATTTCAATTCATGCATTGCACGCAACAACCCAGCAATACGTTGGCGCACCAGAATGTAGTGCACGCCCCAAATCTATCGCAACCCCACAAATCGATTGCACCAAATCTATAGCACCACCCCCTTTTCGCTGGCCCCCATGTTGGGTAAACCTGATGCCTCCTCCGGGAAAACGAGATCCGGATCGGAGTCCGCGATCGGATCGGAGCGGAATTGGAATCGATCGAAGTCGACTCGGAGTCGAGCCGGCGTCGAGCTGAGCCCCGCTCGGGCAAGGAGCGGCACGGGGCGGCGGCCCCCCCGGCTTCGGTCTGGGGAGGCGGGCGGCAGGCTGCCGCCTGCTCCTCCCGCCCACCTACGACGAAGCCAGGGCGAGCATGAGATCGGGTGAGGACAAGTCTGAGGAGCAACGATCGGGGGGGATAGGAACAGGAGGAAACACCGACATGGGATCGGCACCTTCCTGGGCAGGTTGGGGCTATCGGACACCTCTCGGCGATCCATGGGCGATTGAAGGTCGACGCATTTCCCCTCTATGCCTATCCCCCCCCCGATCCTTGCCCCTGAAAATCAAAAACCTCTGAGATCCGGCGGCTCTGGAGGATGGCTCGGGCGCCGCGGCCTTCTCAGAGCGTTCCGAGGCGCTGTGAGAGCGCTCCAAAAGTCTCTGGAACGGATTCATCCTTGTCCTAGCCCCGCCCGACGCTGGTTCTTCTCCCTCTGCTCCTGATCGAACCTCCGGTTACGGTCAGGAGCTTTGGATATCGCGTCGCCAAGGCGGACCTGGCGACACGCTACATCCCGCGAACGGATAGCCTGTCGCTCCGCTCCACGGGGCGGGAGGCTCAGAAAAGGCTCCGGACGTTAACACTTGGGGGCCGCGAAGAAGATCGCGTGTCGCGCCGAAGCGTGAAACGCGCTATCCAAAAGTTCCCGACCGTGTCCGCCACCGTTCTGCGAGGAACGAGCTGCAGTGCCCTCAGGCCCCTCGTGGTCCTCGAGTCCCCAGGATTAAACCTGATGAGGCCTGAGGACCACACGTTCTCAAATGTTCCAGGCTTCTCGGCGTGCCTCCCAAGGTTTCCTGGCGCTTCCCGCATGATTCTTTCAGAGCCACGAGCGCCCCAACACGGCCGAGAGGGCCCCGAGAGACCTAACTGACCTACAGTACAACCCAGGCACGGAGGGTTGATGGGCGCGAAAGGCCAGTAGATTCGTCGCCCCCCTGTGGCCTGCCACAGGGGTGCACGGCGTGCCACATGTCACATGTCTGGCAATTTTGCGGTTCTTCTTCAAAGAACTCTCAGTCGGGTCTCGGCCCAAACGTTCAGGCCTCCCGGAAAACGTGGGAAACCTCGATCTTCATTGGCCGATCGCGTCCGAGACGGACACGATGGTTCCAAATGGCCTTCAAGATGCCGCCAAGACGGGCAAGATGCCCCCAAGAGAGCACAGCTTCAAGATGGCACCCAAGACGGTACAAAGATGCCTCCAAGTTCGCCACGAAGCGCCCAAGAGACCCCCACGACGGCCCAAGAAGCGCCCAAGAGATCCCCAAGACGGCCCAAGAGGCCTCCAAGAGCTCCTTCAAGGCGAGAATCATGAGGCTGTGGTTCGCAATCTTGAGGCGCTGCGGTTCCTACTGGCCCTGTGCTGTGGCCTCCTGCGTACTGGGTGCGCCTGTTGCTGCGGGCAATGAATTTGACCAGCTGCTCCCATATACTCCTCCTCATTGCCATGTCACTCCTGCTCTGGCTGATTAGCGCTCCTCCCTCCTCCCTCCTTTCTCTACCTCCTCCTCCTCCTCCCCCTTGGGGAGGTCGCCTGGCCGACCGCCCGCGCGCCTGCCGACCCGTCGTCGTGCTCGCCGTCGCCCTTCGTCGCTGCTGTCGTCGTCGATCGAACGCCGCGTGTATATCGAAAAACGTGTTCGCGATGTCGACCCTTTTGCGGGCCTCTGGAGGCGGCCTCTGGGCGGCGACCTATCTGGAGGCCTGCGGGGAGTGCTCTCGAGGACCGCAGTTTGTCAGGGCATTTTGCTGGTCCGTCCTGGGCCTCGACAGGGGGCGCCCGCAGCTGGATCCGCCTAAGGATTCTGGCTGGAATGATGGGCCAAGTATCCACCACCACCACCACCACTATAGATAGGAGAGGGACGAGAAGGAGGAGGAGGAGGAGGAGGACCTCCCCATCCTCCCTTCTCCCCAGTCCTACCTATGGTAATGGTGGTGGAACATTGGCCCATCACGGAACGCGCCGTCGCCAGCGTCGTCCAGCGACATCGTCCAAAGGATGTCTCAGGCGAGGCCCCACTTTCGAAGATCCGAAGATTCCGCGACCGATCTCAACATCTCCACGTTAAGAGGATGTCCCAAGCAAAAGCGTGATGGTTAGCGTAAGCCGTCTTACCGAGATTCTCGAGCATTTCAATTTGGTGAGTATGTCTCAGGCGAAACGCTAACATTCAAAACCTTTCCTGACATCAACGGGATGCGCAGGAAAAAGCGGGATCTCCGATCGTCCACAGGGAATACCGCTTACAAGCCTGTTCCTGATGATCCTCCTCACTCCTCCGAACTACTCCAGTTTCCCTCTCCCCCCATCCTTTGAAATGAATCCTCATATGTGACATTACCATCGCCACCAACATTTAGCATCGTGCCATCATCGTCCCCATCAGCAGCAACAACATATCAACATCAACATCATACATCAATATCAATCTCAGCACCGTCATCATAATCAGCATCAGCGTAACCATCTCATTCGGTGTCAGCAGCGGCATCTGCATTAGAGACACCATCATAAACAGCATAAGCGTCAACGTCAATCGGCACCTTCATCAGAAAATGATGTGGTCGAAGAACTGCCCGAAAGCATTGTTTGAGGATGTCTCAAGCGAAACTTTTCTGCCTGCACAAACATTTTGCAAACACTTGTTCGTTCGCCCCCCAAAACATAATACCGACCCCTTTGGTACCAAAGGCTTCGGCTTCCCGTGAATGCAAACTGCGCTCGACTGACAACGACTCGATTTGAAGCAGCGCTCGATTAACAAATATCGTTCTGTCGGTTGACCTTATGGCTCTAGGCGGGCTGGCGGTCGGGATCGACCCCTTGGTGCGCCGCCTCGACGCCGAGCGCGCCCCGCAGGAATCTGGGGCCGACCCTTCACATGTCCTGCTCGGATATCCGAGCAGAGCATGTGAATGTGGTCCGCTCCTGCCGCGAGCCCCCGCTCGCCATCGCAAAAGCGAGCGCGCGCGCAGGCTGGACTGGTCTGGAAGAAGGTGGTCCGGCGGCCGGGGCCGACCCCCTTCACGTGTCCTACTCGGATATCCGAGCAGAGCATGTGAAGGTTCACATGTCCTGCTCGGGTATCCGAGCAGGGCATGTGACGCGCGAAGATGCCGTGGACGCCGCGTCGCAGCAGCGCCGAGCACGTGCGCAGCATTCGCAAGGTCCGCCACCGTGCCCCCTTGGCACATTGAGGCATGGAAGAATGCCGAGGTCTGCCCGGTAGCATTTTCTTGAATGTCAATGGGGGGCCGCCCCTCCCTCTACTATCAGACGCTTGCGTGCGTCGACCCTCCTTTCCGAGGCCACCTCCCTCGTGCCAGCTCGAGGCTGGTGCACTTCCAGCATGGCAGCCAATGCCTAAACTTATGATATGCGTGGCCTCCTCCAGCTGGGAAAATGATAACTCCCCACAACATCTCCCAGGGAGTCTCAAAACAGTTGTTTCCCACGTTTCCGACGCAGCCCCAAAACAGTTTTAAAAAAATATCAAAAACAATGCTCGCTCGTATCAATTCGATAATGCGGAAAACATAATAGTTCTAACGTTTTGCTGGGTCTGCCTCGGGTCCGCAGCGCATCGTCCCCCAAGAACCTCAGCGCGCGCTGAGTGCGATGTGTAGTTTGGCGGGGTTCAGTCCCTTTCCCCACAGGTGCGATGCGAGGTTCCGTATGGTTCAACCTGGGCCCTTTCAGGCCCCCCCCCCCGTGCCCTTTGGGCAGGACACGCACCGACTCGACGTCCGCCTTGCTCTGTTTTGAATAGGGGGTTGGGTAATGAGCGAGGGGGGAGACAAAATATGGTCGGGGGCTGGGCGGGGGTGAGCGGGGGGGGGGCACATGACACATGACAGAAAGGAAGGGCTGTGATGAGCGGGTGCAAGCGCCCCTTGCCCCCCCCTTCCCAAGGGATTCAGGACGCCCCCCCCCCCCCCGTCGCCAACGGCAGCAGCGTCACCGCCATCATCATCACCACGCGCTGCCGTTTTGGATCGCACATGTCTCGGCAAGGCTTTGGCACTTTGTGTCTTTTTTTTGCGGCAAGACCGCGATGGAGGACGGCTGGGGCGATGTGCTCGCCGAGGTCGCGGGTGAGCCTCACCCGCCGCCCCGCGGCCCCGCGGGCGCCGTGGCCAGAGGGCCGCGCCCCCCGCCACGCAGGCCCAGTCGGGCAGCCGCGAGGTCGGTCGCGGCGGCGGGCCGCACCAACGCCCTGGCGCTGCCCCTGTCGGAGTCAGTGAGGCTGCCCACCGTGCCGAGACACATCGTCCAATGCACGGGCAGAGGCTCGACAGATCAGTGGCCGCTGCTCCCGTATGTTCGCATGGCAGCGCTCACGATCGAGCGCCAGAGAGTATCAGACCAAGACGTGCCAGCCAAGCTCAACCGCATGTTGATGGATTCGTCGTCCGAGCTGGCTGGCCGAACCACGTCAAAGGCATCGATCCAGGAT